AGAATAATAATAATAATAATTAATGATTATAATACAGCATTAGGTACGGCAGCAGTCACTTCAGAGGAGACTCCAGAAAGTATTATTACTGTAGCTGGTGGAAGAGGAGTTAAGAGTACTAGAAGTAAATATGCATGTATAATATTCATATTAATTAATGATTATTATATTGCATTAGGTACGGCAGCAGTCACTTCAAAAGAGAGTCCAGAAAGTACTATTACTACTGTAGCTGGTGGAAGAGGAGTTAAGAGTACTAGAAGTAAATATGCATGTATAATGTTCATATTAATTAATGATTATTATATTGCATTAGGTACGGCAACAGTCACTTCAAAAGAGAGTCCAGAAAGTACTATTACTACTGTAGCTGGTGGAAGAGGAGTTAAGAGTACTAGAAGTAAATATGCATGTACAATATTCATATTAATTAATGATTATTATATTGCATTAGGTACGGCAGCAGTCACTTCAAAAGAGGGTCCAAAAAGTACTGTTACTACTGTAGCTGGTGGACGAGGAGTTAAGAGTACTAGAAGTAAATATGCATGTATAATATTTATATTAATTAATGATTATTATATTGCATTAGGTACGGCAACAGTCACTTCAAAAGAGAGTCCAGAAAGTACTGTTACTACTGTAGCTGGTGGAAGAGGAGTTAAGAGTACTAGAAGTAATATATATTGACTTATATATATTAATGAATTATTGATTAGGTACGGCAGGAAATAAGGACAATTTATACGAAAGTGATTATTTTAAATAAGTGTATATACATGTATGTATTTTTTTATAACTAATAGGTTTTGAGAAACGAAGTGTTCGATTTGATTTACTTGCTAGTGATAGCATTACTGAGTGCCCAACTTGTGGTGCAGTTTACGGAGAAGATGAGAGCATTTGGATTTGTTGTGATAACTGTGATGTGTGGTATAATTATGAATGCACTGGACTTCAGAATGAAATACCAGATGAATATTTTTGTTCAGCCTGTCAGTTTTCTCATGTTTCTGTAAGCTTTTAACTATAATTTTCATCTTTATTACTGTTATTAACTTGATTTTATTATTATTGTTAAATATTATTATGTCTCCCCTTTTCCCTCTCATCTCTCTTGTTTTATCTTTTCTTCTTCCAAAGCTCTGAGACTCCTAGTTATATAAATAAATTAATTAATGAAAAATCAATTAACGATTATAGGGGCGTGGCTTCGGCAATGTTTTTTTATCATTTTCTTTTGTGAGATCGAGTTTTAGCTAAAGCCCTTGTAGTGGATTCATTCATTAAATGATGTGTCTTGTCTGTAAGTGCATTTTTTCGTTTGCATGTTGCTTATTTGTTGAGCTGTAACAAGAAAACGCAAATATGTGCCAGTTGTGCGAATCAGCGGGCGATTGAAATAACACTTTATTATTTATTTTAAAATCGTAGGTACTACGGACTGAGCTGTAAATTTCTACAACTGTAAAGATACATTATTGCTACAAGTTGATAATATCAACCACTGCTGAAGAGCACTCAGATCTGCGAAAAAAAGCTCGAATATAGGTGGTGCACGATTATCAGTGGCTCACTCTAGGTACAACAAAATTTTTTCATTTTTCGCCCTTTTTCTGTTGTAACAAACTCATGCTTCATGGATTCTAACTCTAACTAGTATCATTCCATATGCAAATGAAAGCTCTTTCATATGATTATAAAGATCTTGTATCTTACTCTAGCTTGTTTTCAAAAAAGGGATTATAATGACAAAAATTACATTTTATGGTTTTAAAAGAGCCATAACATGAACATAGTAAAATTATCTGTACAATAGAAAACAGAATTTTTAAGAGGAAATATTAGGCTTCTTGATGCATTAATTCCACTTGCATAGGAACACTTGTTCGCGAGATATTGTTTCTAAGA